AGCACCTAGGCATTGAGGACTTAAGTTGATAAACCCTTTGATCCGCTTATTAACTCACCTAAGCACTCATGCATTGAAAGAGGCTTAATGACCCAATATTAAAAAAACTTCTAATAATCAGCATTTTTTTGCCCACCGCCATTAGAGGATTGCATCTACTCCATCTCTTGGCTGGTTGTAGTGGGAGTAACTTAGCTAGTAACACAATACACATCAAAATAAATTTGCTTACATTTTTTTTTTGAAAAAAAATGAGTCTACAAACTAATAAATACAACCATCTATCACACTACCTCTATGTTACTCCCCGCTATGAAGATAATAAGAGAGAGTAGTGTCATATGCATGACACTAGTGTAAATTATGCCCCACTATGACTAGCTTTCCTGTTTATAGGGCTCAATAAAAAATCTCACCAACTAAGATAAATGATGAGTGGTGGAATAATTTTTGTAGTTTGCAAAAATACTCAATTAATGCACTCGTTTATCATAAAAATATATGGACCACGATAACTGCCACACGTGTGGGTGTTAAGGGGTCTGCCCACATGTTTTGTGTGATGTCTAACAGGACTAGCCCAAACGCCTACGTGTGGGCAAAACAACTAGCGCTCACACGCCTTTTTTCCTTGCGGTCCCTCTCACACGCCTACGTGCGGGCAAAATGCATAACGTCCACACGACCTCTCTCATTCACCTACCTCACGGTCCCGCATGCCCCGCGTGATAGTCACCACGCGTCCCCGTAGTTGCCATGGTTCGGACCCTCTTCAATGTCCATTTAACTGCAGTTGCCATGTCGCTGAACTACAGTTGCCATGTCGGACAACTACAGTTGTCATGGTTGCTCAACTGCAGTTGCCATCTCAGGTCAAGTGCTAGATGCCATTTTGGACAACTGCAGATGTTGCCATGTATAGTCTGGTTTACTATAGTTGCCATGATTTGAAAACTTTAGAGGTTACCACCTACTAACACTAAGCAGTTGCCATGTATGGTCTGGTTTACTACAATTGGCATGATTTGAAAATCTTAAGAGTTGCCACCTACTAACACTAGGGAGTTTCCATGTAGCACTACAAAGAGACATGGGAAAACAACATGTTCGGGTAAAAGAGAGAGTTGCCATCTGCTTACAAGCACACTAGGGCAGTTGCCGTTTACCCTGCAAAACACATGACAACTAACATATTTGGGTAAAAAAAAAGAGTTCCCATCTGCTTACAAGCACACTAGGGCAGTTACCAAGTACATTGCAAAACGCATGGCAACTGTCAGCTTGGGTGTGGGAGAGGAGACGGGCGTGTGGGAGAGATGGCAAATGCCCACACACTAGCCCTTGTACGTGAGTGAAAACTGGCGTGTGGGCGCCAATAAATGATGAGCTACAAAAGGATTCGTTTTTTTCGTGTCACAGCTGATTACTCCTTTTTTTTCCTTTTTAAAGAGTGGCATTCTAACTGCTAAACGCCCACACACCGACCCCTTCGTATGGTGAAATGGACATGTGGACGACCGGGTGAATGCTCACACATCAGCCCCTTCGTATGGTGAAACGGACACGTGGGCGACCGGGTGAATGCCCACACATCAGCTCAGTCCTACATGACACCACAAATATGCCAAGATTCGTGCATCCATAAACGGACGCGAATCCATGCGTGCGGGTGAGATGTAAATGCCCACACATATGGGCGTTAATGTTTTTGAAATATATTTGACCCAAGACTTTTACATGCATTGGTGAGTTGTCTCCTTGTATGTTGCAATTTAATGCACCTTAAAATCTAAACATGTCATGATAAGTAATAATATTAAGATATAAAACAAAAAAATAAAAAAATTTGGTATAAACCCTGTAAACCGAAAAGGAAAGAGCGGTACAACGGCACGTCAAAAATTGTTTGCCGGGGTTAAAACACAGAGACCATCGGTTATTATGCGCGCTCTCTCTCTTTTACAGTGCCTTTTGTTTTGAGGCAAATCTCTTTCATAGTGCCTATCAAGCTTTTATGTTCCAGCCATGTCAAGTTATTTACTCTTGCTGCATGGGCCCGCTTTTGTAACGCCACAAGTAATCATCTAACTGGCTAAGGACAACAACGAGGGGTCAAATTCACTCTTTTGACATTTCCATCAAACTTTAGCACGATTTGATTCCGTGCTAAAGTTCGATCCAAAAATATTTTGAAAACAAGTCAAATCGTACTAAAGTTCGATCAAAGGGTCGAAACAGTGAACTTGGCCACCACGAGGGATCACTCACCGTGCTTCTGCGTCTTTGTCCAGTTCTGCAGCATGGGGACAAGAAACCCTTTGCTTTTTCCTCAGCTTTGGCTACGTAAATCAGACTTTCACCAAACTGGAAACTGCATTGCTGACCAACAACAGAAAGCGTCTCTAGTCTGACAATGTAAAGCAACGCTACGGGAGAGCTTCAACTGCTCTGTCCAGCACCATCCTTTATCTTCGGTCAGCCCACTGTCCAGCCCTACAGTATATAGACAACAGACCCTTGCTTTTTCTCAGCTTTTTTTTGGAGGGGCTTTTACTCAGCTTTGGCTTACATGGTACTCCCTTTGGTCCCACAAATGGCTTGCCCCAGCCTGGGAAACAAATCGAGTTCAGCTTTAACGTGGTCTGTTTCCCGACGTCAAAGTTGGCTCGCCGCAGGGTGGTCCGTTTCCAGTCCAGCGAGCATCTGTAGCTAGTACCTATATGCTTCGCGTACAAAGCATACTACCTACTGATCACTGATTAAACTTTTTTGTCCTCTGCTGAATGCTCAAAACTATGTATGCACAAGATAAGCTACACAAATTGGCTCAAGAGCAGTGCTGAAACTAAGCTAGAACGTCGGACTACCTAGATTCAAGACTTGGAACTGTCCCTACGGAGACGATTAAATCTGGTTGTGCGTCCACGATACACAACCATGCAGCTCAACAAGTCAGGAGAACAGAACGTTAAGAGCCAAAAGTGCGATAAATATTACTGGCATGCTTAGATAAAACAGTCTTGAGAATATCAGGTCCAGATGATGCTCAGATAACAGTCTTGAGAATATCAGGTCCAGATGATGCTTAGATAAAATACAAATATAGGAGCTGGCGACATTGCTTAGATAGTCTAATTAAACAAGGTAATGGGAGCTTCTTCCTCTTGCGTTGAGTGAAGGTGCAGATGGCATTAGTGAGCCCAGAAGTGATAGGATTCCAGCTGACTTGAAACGAAAACTGTGCTGATTCCACATCTCAGAAGTCAGGAACCTGATTCACATAAATAGCAGATATAAGCCACAAATTTGCTGTGTATCAAACCATTAACACACCACGAACGTATTCGAAGGCCATCAGACAAAAGCTAAACTGATATGATAAGCAAAAGGAAATTTAAGTTTATGTAGATGGCGTTACAAAAACTGAAACAGTTGAGAAATGCTGAGTATTATGAGAAGAGTGTTCTATCAATTGGGTTGTTGTTAAACTGAACAAACTACTACTCCCTCCGTTCCAAAATAGATGACCCAACTTTGTACTAAAGTTGGTAGAAAATTGAGTCATCTATTTTGGAACGGAGGGAGTATATACTAGTAGATTGCTATTCACAACATTAAGCCATGTCTATGTACAAGCAAACTGCGATTACAAACATTAAGCCCACGTACAAGTAAAGCAAAAGACTGCTGACAGCATTTAATGATTTCAAGCAATAAAATTTTCAAAATATAAGGTACTTCCACGGAAAAAATATATGTAGGTGCTAATGAGACGATGAACAACATTAAGGTTTCTTTGCTCTTCTAAGTGACCAAAGTTTAGTCATTCGATAAAAAAATGACCAACTTTAGGAAACCCACCGTTATTGTTATTTCCAGCTCTCCACTTTTTCAGTCAGAGTTCAGCTAATGGTTAGTGGCTGCCATCACTTGGCAGAACAAGTAGAAATGTTTATTTTATTTGTTCTAGTTGTTAAGGGCTGTAACAAATAGCAATATTTGATTCATTCAACAAATCAAAGTGCATGCATCACATATGTTTTACAAATTACATCTATCTTGCCCACAACTACTATGAGAAATTAAGAAATGCAAGCACAAGTACTGTTCAAAAATAGTTAACAATCACGTTGCAACCATAAAACATGCTGACTTGTACTTATAAATCCCACTCCCACATACTAATTCGCTATGTACGTTGCTGTGCTAGGGCCATTAATAAAGTACTGTATTTGTTAGTACAATATCCATAACACACAAGATCTATTCTTTTGGTACAAGGAAAACACAAATAAAAGGTCTGATTCCAAACAATCAACAAAGCATATAAAATTCATAAAAGTCCTATTATATAAACACATTTTACCTTCAATTCACTGAACAGTTAACCACCCCTCTTTTTTTTTAAAAAACACCCCTCTTTTCAAAATAATAAAGCAACCAGCCTGCATTTTGGAATTCTAGAGGTCGCCTATAAGCTAACATCTAACAATGACAAGCGGCCTGCCCCAGCCACTGCAATAAGTAACTAAAGGATTAAATATCGTAAAACTACCATAATTTGGGTTAGGGTTCCGAAAAACTACCAGTTTTTGAAAATTTCCTAAAACCTACCAAAAGATTAGTTTTTGATTTCAAACTCCATCGAATTGCGAAAGCTTTGGTATGCCAAATATGACAGACCAGGATAGCAATGAACATGTGTACAGTGTAGCTAGAGACTATGATCCATGCAAAGGAAGAAACTATACGCATGCATTAGACCTTCTACCAACGGCATATATCCAAAACTAGAGGAATCGAGAAAGAGATCGTGACTAGAAATTCTAAAACAGACATGTATTTGGGATGATTGCTTCACAATCGTTACCACCATCATATATCGAAACCTCAAGGCAGCCACATAGGAAATGAACTGAGGAATGAAGCTCATGATCAAGCAACATCGATGAGTGGCATCTTGAAGAGGGAAGGAGGTTTTACCAATCACCAGAAAGTCGTCAGTATTCTGGAGCGAGGAAGGCAGGCGGCCACGCGAGGAAGTAGGCAAAGATCGGGTGGCCGTACTCCTTGCCATGTTTGGTGTGCAGGGGCTCAATCTTGGCGGTGTCCAGATGTAAGGAGTAGCGCCCATATCCTATGGTTCTGATGAACACCTTCCCGCTACGCCCCGCGTCCATGTCGCTGGGCCAAACACTGAAGATCCTGTGGGCAAGGTCATTGGGCAGGCCTGGCACTGCGTCCCACACCACACGCATGTTGAGCATCTCCCTCTCCAGAAACCACCCATTGTCGCTCCCTCTGGCCTCCGCGCGGACCCAGAGCTGCAGCTGCCTCGAGCGACTCCCCACGGCCAGGAGGCAGAGCCGGCCGTCCTCCGGCGTCTCCCCGACGCGGTACGTGCAGAAATGGTCTGACAGTACGGCCGGCGCCAGCAGGTAGGACAAGTGCAGTGTCGCAGGGTCCAGCACGAGCATGCGGTAGGAGTTGCAGATGTGCCAGTAGATCTTCCCGGCGGCGTGCACGCAGCGCCCTTCGAACAACCAGGGGTCGAAATCGACCTCTAGCTCCATGGTCCGCGGGTGGGCGCGCCAGCTGCATCGGCCGTCGTCCACGGACGCGACCCAGACGCGCGGGTGCCCGCCGTCGATGGCGAAGCAGACGACCTCGAAGCAGAGCTTGCTCGGGTGCGCGCGGGAGAGCAGTGCGGAGCCGACGTAGTACCTGGAGCGGCGCCAGCGGTGGTCGTCGGGCACCGTGTCGCGCGGTGGCGGCGGGAGGAGCACGCGGCGGCGGGTGGCCGGGTCGATGACGAGGAAGCGCGGGATGGTCCCCTTGGGGAGCGACGCGAACGGCTCGAGAAGCAGGAGGCCTTGGTGGCAGTCGTGGAGCACGTAGCGGGAGGCCCCCGGAGCGAAGTCGAGGGAGAGGCTCGGGGAGGAGGCGTCCAAGGGAGCGAAGACGGCGGGGGTGTCGATCTCCTTGGATCGCGAGTGCAGGGGCGCTGGCAAACCGGTGGCGGTGGGGTGGAAGAAGTAGCCGAGAAGTGGGGCGGTGCAGGGGATGCAGCGTGCGGCGACGCGGCGCCAGCGGTGGCAGGCGAGGGCGGCACGGAGAAGGTCGGCGAGGGAGAGGCGACGGAGAATGTTGCGGAGGGTGTCCACGGTGAGGGCATCGACCGTCGTCACCGACTTCGCAGCCCCCGTCTGTGGCTCCTCCACCGGCGGTGGCGTAGGGAGAGATGGTCCGGCCATGGTTTGGCTTTGCAAGCAAGGAGCAGTAGCAGGGACGGAGGGAGGGAGGGAGGTGTTTTTCTGTACCGAGAAGAGTTCACCCAATGAGCGGTAGCAGGGACGTATAGTACGTTTGGGTCAGGCTCTGGGAAGGAAAAGCAGCCTGCAGTGGTCTTGTTGACCACACCACTCACCTTGGCTGAGCTCTTTTTGAAATATGAAATTTGAAATGCCCTGCTTAATTGTTGTGATGCCGAATAAGAGCAACTTCAACGGGTCGACTCAAACGGACGGCGCATTTGTCCATTTTTTATCTATTTGGGTCGACCGCCCGCCCAGCGTCCGCTCAGTTTTGCATTGGATCGGCAGTGCGCCTAACACGCCGACCCATTTCATGTCCGCACTCAATTTTAAAAAACGAACCGCGGCCATAGATCATGTCGGCACCATGCCAGCGCCGGCATACATTGTCGGCTTTAAAAAATATCACCGCAGTTCATGTTGGCGCACTCGTCAGCGATCGACACACATGCCAGCACACAGAAGGGGTGGGACTTGAGTTCGACCACGCCATCGCGGCCTCGCGGTTATGCCAGCACACAAGCCGGCATACAAAAAAGGAAGGCGCTCGCGGCCACGAGATCACTCGTCGGTGAACTTGAGCATGTCGGCATGCATCTTCGCGAACCACGGCCTCTTCCTTGACGACACGATGTTGAGATCCATCTTCATGAACTCCATCCCGGTCATCATGCTCGCGAGAGCCATTTCTTTCGCCTTGGTCTTGGCGTTGGCGGTCTCGATCTCTAGCATCTTGGCTTGCTTCTCTGCCTCCAGCTCGAGCATCTTGGCTTGCTTCTCCGTGTCCATCTCAAGCCTCCTCCTTTGGATCTCCATGAAGGCGTTCATTTGCTCTTCCTTGAAACGCCGGTGCTCCTCCTCCCTTGAGTCCTTCTCGTTCATCATGCCCTCCACGCTTGTGATCAAGGCGTTGGATGTCGCATCCCGCTTGTCCTCCTTCTTGGAGTTGGTCTTCCCCCGCGGCCGTGCCGGCTCGCCCTCCCCAACCTCCTTCACGACTTGTTTCCCCCCACGCGACTTGAGGGTGGCATATTGCGCCTTGAACTTCTCCTCGTCCTTGATGACCCGGAAGCAATGGGAGATGTTGAAGGACTTGCCATTGTGTTGGATCTTGAATGCCTCCAAAGCTTGAAATCGGGAGCCGTGTATGCCTTCGTGCGCTTGCTCTTGCGCTTCAGCTTAGGACCGGCGGCTTGGTTGGCGAGCTCGTCCTCAAACAAAGTCTCCACTTTGATGTCGCACTCGTCCTCTTCCTCTTGCCCGTAGTCGTCCGGGAACTCTTGGTCGAGTGGGGCCGTCCAAGTCCATGCCGACCTGATCACGCATAAAGGTCGCCTGATTGGGATCAGAGCCAGCGGCAGGCGTGAACGCCCTGCGACCGTCCTGGCTTTGTGTCTCGTCGGAATAGTAGCCAGCGGCCGGCGCACCGCCCTCGAAGATGAGGTTCTGCATGTAGTCCTCGTCGATGGTGGACGACATTCCCTCGAACAGGTTGCGGGCGTTCGGGAGTGATACGTCTCCAACATATCTATAACTTTTTATTGTTCCTGAAAGTGTGTTATATCGACTAGAGGAGGGTGAATAGGCGATTTTTATGAAAGTCTTCAGAACATGGGAGTTTTGAAGACAAACGATAAAATTAAACCTATTACCATGCAGCGGAAGGTAGGCTACACTAGGCAAACCATAGTCAAGTATTCAATGAAGTGAAAGCACAAAGACTAATAGCAGCTAGGTAGTAAGGATCAGGTAGGAAGATATTGTGAAGCCAAACAGAACACGCAGTCACTCAGTGAAGACAAATGATAGAGCAAACATACAATGACTTCACAAGGAGTAACCGTAAGTAAAGTGAAGTGAAGATGAAACCAGTGACTCGTTGAAGACAATGATTTGTTGGACCAGTTCCAGTTGCTGTGACAACTGTACGTCTGGTTGGAGCGGCTAGGTATTTAAACCTTAGGACACACAGTCCCAGACACCCAGTCCTGAACACGCAGCTCAGGACACCCAGTCCTCACCGTATTCTCCTTGAGCTAAGGTCACATAGACCTCGCCCAATCACTCTGGTAAGTCTTCAAGGTAGACTCCCAAACCTTCACAAACTTCGTTCACCGGCAATCCACAATGTCTCTTGGATGCTCAGAACGCGACACCTAACCGGCTGGAGGATGCACAGTCCTCAAGTGTAATAAGTCTTCAGATCACACAGACAAGAAGACTTAAGTGATGCCCAATTCTCTCTGGCTCTGGTGGTTAGGGCTTTATCCTCGCAGGGAATTCTCTCTCAAAGGCTTCGAGGTGGGTTGCTCTCAAACGACAAAAGCCGTACTTTCAATCTGAGCAGCCAACCATTTATGGTTGTAGGGGGTGGGCTATTTATAGCCACTTGGCAACCCGACCTGATTTGTCTGAAATGACCCTGGGTCACTAAGGAACTGACACGTGTCCCAACGGTCAGATTTCAAACTCACACGGCAACTTTACTTGGGCTACAAGCAAAGCTGACTTGTCCGACTCTGGACAAGATTCGCTCTCATAGTCTTCACTCGAAGACATAGGTTTTTGGTTTAGGCATCACTTCAGTCATTCTGACTGGTTCTCTTGGACCCCACTTAACAGTACATTGGTTCCTATGACTCAACACAAAAGAAAAAGAACTACGAAAGATCTAAGTCTTTGAGCTCCATAGGCTTCATATCGTGTCTTCTCTTGTCATAGTCTTCAATGTGAATATCTTCATATACCACCTTTGACTTCAATGTCTTCATACATTTTTAGGGGTCATCTCTGGTAGTAAAACCGAATCATGAGGGACTTCTACCTGTGTTATCCTGCAATTCTCACAAACACATTAGTCCCTCAACTAGGTTTGTCGTCAATACTCCAAAACCAACTAGGGGTGGCACTAGATGCACTTACAATCTCCCCCTTTTTGGTGATTGATGACAAACTAGTTGAAGTTTTCAATGGGGAATATAATCTGTGAAACTGTAAAGGATAAGGAATTGTCTTCATAAGGTTCAAGGGCTCCCCCTGAAGATGTGCATATAAGTTAATTTGCTTTTGGAATGCAAATGCACATGGCAGGTGGTACTTGTGGAGATCCACTTCAACTTATGATGACAATCCACTATGCATGTGAAAGTATATGAAGATAATGCCATGCATAATGGAAAATGGACGTCTGTAGAATGAGCTAAGTGCGGAATTTATCGTCGCACATGCGGAATTTATCTTCGCAAAATAAGGTGGCAAATAAGTAGCAGACGACCATCTAGTTTAAGTGTTACAACTCATAAGAACCAAATGTAGCAAAAACGAGAGTTGTAAGCACGAAGCAAAATATAAAGCACCCGCCCATATGAACCCGCTTGAAGACTATCAATCTCATATGCTTCTAGCAGCACGGCCCTTCGAGGAGGTGTGGAGTCAAACTTGAATCTCTCAGTGAAGCCATCCTCTTGAAGATCAGCTTCAAAAAGCATCATCGTTAGCCCTTTCCATGTGCGGCGACAGGTTTCATGGGCAACGAACGCATTCTTGGTGGCAAGATTTCGAGTGCGATTAACATCCACCAAGAGGCTTTTCATCTGACGCTTCAGCCAGTCATGATGCCTATCTTGTTTCTGATGTAGAGCCACAAGAAGCTCTCGGTCGTTGAGAACACGAGTGCGCTTCTTGGGTCTTGGAGCAGTGGCACTGTCAGTGGCTTCAGTTGAAGCAGGGTGTGGTGCATGTGTAGTGCTAGCCAAAGGATACACCCGAGAAACTGCTTCAACGCCTTCAACGTTTCGTGTAAAACTCTGATGTTCTGCATTCTGAAGACTTAGAGGTTGCTTGGCAGGCTCAGAATATATGGCTTTGGTAGACATGTCCACGTCAGGCAAGAAGATCCGATGGTTGCGGGCTGAGGGCTGATAAGAGATGGCGGAGTGTAGCTTGATCAGCCGCATGACCCAAGGGGCGTAGAACTTCAAACCAAACAGATCAATGCCTGATGCAGCAAGTTGGCGTATGAAGAAGTCCTGTGCATTGAAGCATTTGCCATGAAGTATATAGAAGACCAAAGTCTTCATTGCACCCTGAAACTTGGCATTTGGAGAGTGCCCTTTGATAGGCCAGAGAGTTCGCCTGATGATGTGATAGATGGTCCTGGGCAGGTACTCAAGGTCTTCAACGAAGAACTCTGTGGGATAAGCAGCATCTTGGGGCAATGGCTTCATCATGCTGAGCATTTGACTCATATCAGGTTCTGGCCGCTGAAAGATGCTATCAATAGCTTCAGCATGCAGCTGACAGCCTTGCTCGAAGAGATCGCCAGGAGTGGGCAAGCCAGTGAGCTCAATGATGTCAAATGCATTGGCTTCGTGATGAACGTTGCCAGTCATCCACTCCAGGACCCAAGTCTTCGGATCTCTGCTATACCCTTTGATGTGAAGTGTGGCATAGAATTGTAGCAGCAGCTCTTCATTCCAATGCTCTTCATCAGTAACAAACTGCAGCAGACCCACTTGCTTGAAGCAATCCAACGCTTCTTCTAGACAGGGCAGACCAGCTATAGCTTCAACATCAAGGCGCTTGTGTGGGAAGATGCGACCTTGGTTGTAAAGTATGCAAGAGTAATAGCTTCGCTGAGGATAGCTCCAGAACCGATCAGATGATATCCTTTCCCTTGAGTAGGGGTTCCTGGAGCTATTGAATAACGTGTTGTCTGCCCTGAAGCCATTGATGTTGAAGGAGCCAGGTGCTGATGCAGGACCTGGAAACCTTGGCAGTCTTGGGATTGGCTTCTGGACCTGAGGCATGTGCTCAACATGATAGTTGTATTGGGGACCGGCAGCAGACTCAGGAACAGAAGTGGCGGGATCAGTGGCTTCACTGTCTTCTGAAGCTTTTGCTGGGGAGGGCTCCACATTAGCTTCATTGTTGGTTGTGGC